AAATATTATCTGTGTTGCGATTTGAATTGCTCAATTATTGTAAATAAACAGAGATAAATTAAATAAGGCAAAGAAACGAAAGTTACAGCATGTGAACCATTCTGCTTAATTTGTGATTTTGGAAGTAAATTCATTGTCTCTACTAAACAGCAAGAGTGGCGGAGTACCTGATGTCGGAAATCGGAATTCTACTCGGTTTTTCTGAATAGTTGTCGATAAAATTCTCGGCTAAAACCAAATACCTATTTGGTCATAGTATGGCAATCCCTGCTATTATATCATTGTACCTATATTTATCCAATAAAAAGATTTGAAAGTATTTTAATAAATTTGTTATTCATAGTTTTTTTGGGCGAACTGAGTGTCCTTCATATAATCTCCCGACACTAAAATGAAATCGTATAAAATTACTACCTATAACGCGAAAGTACCTTTCGTTGGAACTTTTAGATTTAAAATTAATGTAGATGAAATTAAGGTTTAGTTTAGTTAAAGTTTGGGTTGGCCGTTTTCAATATCCACCAACAACTTAGTTTGTCTTCAATATTTTGCATTTTTCAATGTTGTTATGCTTACTAATTCTATTTACAAACCTTGGATTAGGACTGAGTGATCAATAAAACAGGAAGTGAAATGAAATAAATCACAATTACCTCAAAACTATCCAGGTAAAAGTCCAACGTTGACGTTGAGGTGCATCCCCTTTCGCAACGCCAATGACTATAACGTATTAACACTTATCGATCGATTATAATGTACTCGTAGATATTGAACGGTTTTTTGCAATCGACAAAAATCTTCCCTATTTTCGGCAAGTGTCTGGAATACTACGATGGCATCGAACCACGCACTTTATGTTTTAGTAGAAAAGTACGAATTTAATGTGAGGTGTCAACAACTGTCAAACTGGAGGCTTAACCCTGATCGACTTATAATATGAACTTGCATCCTGTCTACTGGACACTTATTTTATTTACAAATAAATCGTAAGCTCACTCTTAAGCGATGACGCAGTTCCTAAAATTATTGGGACAAAATGACTATCGATTTTTTTTTTGATGAAGAAATTTACTTGAACACTAACTAGTTATCATAAATTACAACTCAATACTTAACTATACTATCGAATTATGTGGAGTGGCCTATTTTGCTCTACCAGACGCAACTTTCTTCGTATGTCTCTCATGTGGTCCTGGACGGAATTCAGATCAATTTCTCTCAGTTTTTCTTAAATTCGCCGTCTTAATTGTTCTTCATCTTGGGCTTCCCAGCCTTCATGATAAACCTTCCTAGACAGTAAAGCCTAAAAATACTCTACTGGTCGAGCCTGCGGTGAGTTTGGAGCATTATCGATTTTGGGAACAAAAGGTATAATGTGTTTTGGGTATCTCTTAGGTAATGGCATGATGCTAGGTCTGGCCAAAACATGATATGGTCATTAGCATGATGTCCGTGGACAAACTGAAGCAATTTTGAAAGGCCGTTGTTAATATAGCTCTGACTATTCAAAGCTTCACCCCTCACTCTTACCAAAAAAGGTTGGATTACACCCCTGTTAGAATTTGCGAACCAGACATGGATTTTATCTGCAAATTTCGCTTTATGTTTGTATCTAACATTGTCAGGGCATTCCTCTACGTTGTCCGTATAATATCCGTCGTTTCCCGTCATTTCAGAATTTCTCGAAAGCGAAATACTTTTCGTCATCTAAAATAATGATTTTCCCATTGGCAAAGTGTACCCGCCTCAGATGAGGACAGCATCTTGGTATACGAAGGAGTTGTTGGGGCACTTGAATCTCTTTCGATATTTAAGAATATTTCTCCTCAATTACAACGATATCGTACTCTTATAAGATCTGTATTGACGAGCCAGTCTCCTTGTTGACATTCCAACTTCAAAATAAATAAATGTCAACTGACAGTAAAGTAAGTAAACAAACTTTTGTTTCCAAAGGCAACTTGATATTATTTTGTGTTTGTTAAAATTAAAGCCAATGAATTTTGTACCAAAACTTTTAGGACATACGTTGTTAAGGGGAAAGAGCTGAGTGGCGACGGAAACCAAGCAGCAGCAGAAAACATGAGCTCACTGGCACAGATATCATCGAAGCAGAAAACCGTCGTTGTTGATTATAGACGACCAGGCGAGGCAGATCCGAGACCTTATGGAGACAATCAAGTACCAGACAACTAAGATTGGCAACCTGGGCGCCCAAGTAACAGTTTAATAAGTTCAAAAGAATCCCCCAAAGCACGGACAAATACCCTAAAAAGTCCAATGAGAACCGTTACTGATGATTTTACATCCACAGACGAAGACGTACAGACCGACGGATTTGGGAAAGCAAAATCAAGAAGGAGTAAAAGCGACAAGACCGATCGACCAACCTAAGACTTTCCTCCTCTTCTGAATACAGGATCAATTCCATTTCACACCTCCCCCACTTTATCAAATCGAAACACCTTTAATGCCTCTATTATCAAATCATTGACATCGGTCAGCGCAGGGTACCACATTATCTACTTCTCAGGTGACTTCCTCGGCCGATGTTACTTTTCCTCCCCCATCTCATTCAACCGTCGCGTCGTGGCATCAACCCAAACTTCACGCCAAGGCGCGTAACGCCGATCGTTTTACGTGATGGGGCGAGGAGGTGTACTCGTACTTTAAACTAAAAGGCCATTTCCCTAGGTATTAAAATAGATAGCGCGGTTATTCCTAAGTCCGAGGACGACTACAGTAAGATCGTTCGTCTGTTCCGAGAGGAAGAAGTGCCCCATCACACTTTTCCTCTCTCGGGAGAAGGGAACATCCATGCGGTGGTTCGAGGAGTTCCTGTTAATTTTGTCGGATGCTTAGGTTAAGGAAGAACTTGAGCAGAGGGAATCTAGCCCTCTTCATATCATTCGATTGAAGTGCAGTGGCGGCGCGCCCATGCCTTTGGTGGTCGTGATACTGCACAAGACTGAAAAGTCCCAGCAAGTATTCAACGAACACGAACTGCTAGGACTGGCCGTTCGAGTTGAGGTTCAGAAGAACTCTAGACTCATAGGGCCGTGTCACCGCTGCTAAAAGTACGGGCATGCGCAGTCACAGTGCATTGCACCGCCCAAATGCTTGAAATGTGCAAAGGACCACATGATGCATCTGCGCCCGCTCACGCAGGTGTGCGAACTGCGGAGAGGGCCATCCCGCAAATAGCCCGACTTGCAAGTTTACTCCTTGAGCTCGCAAAATGTGGGCCTGGCAACCGCGCTTAGGTCCTTACAACAAATAATAAGCAAACTGATTAGCTCTACCCAAGCGTTGCAGGTGATCTTTCTTGTAAATGGCTAGGTACAATAGTAGAGTCTGCATTCATAAAATTTTTTTTTAATTGTTTTGGGCACAAGGGATATTCCCAAAAAACGGGAATTTCATCAAGCTCTTTTAGATGAAGGTATAGATGTAGCCTCGCTGTAGGAAACGTTGTTTAATCCGGGAGAGCCAGGCGGTGATATTATAGAAGGTGACAGACTGAACGGTCGAGGTGGCGGTTTAGCAGTGCTGATTAAGCGCCGTATAGATTATTATAGAAGCATGAATGCAGAGATGCATAGCATCGACGCAGCTTCTATGGTGGTCAATATGGCGGAAGTTATGGTTCCAGGCTACAAGAGGCAGATCTGGATATCTTTTTGGGCTACTTGGGTCCGCTTATTGTGACAGGGGAGTTCAACTGCCAACATCGAGCATGGAATTCTAGGTTGAATTTCACCAGTGGGATTCGATTGTACAACCATGCAAATTGACATAGCAGTGAAGAGCTGACACTCCATCCGTTCAACCACCTTCAGGCATAAGATGTCATTGACGATATCTAAGAACAGTAGACACTGTATCTCTTCTTGAATCTTGTATTCTGAGAAGGTGCGTAAAGCACCTGGGGAAGATCATATCACCAACAAGGAGTTGAAGCTGTTATCGCCGAAAGCTCTGACATATTTGGTGACAGTATAATGCGATGCTCAGAATCCAGTACTTCCCTGCGGGGTGGAACACTGCTGAGGTCATCATGATTCCAAAGAAGGAGGGTTCGATATTTCCTTAGGATTACCGTCCCATTAGCCTGCTGACAGCTCTTTCTAAGCTCGCTGAAAAGCTAATTTATCGTCACCTTGAGAATTTTTCGTCAAATCACCATGTGATTCCTGATGTTCAGTTCGGCTTACGGTCCGAGCATAGTACCAAGCTACAGGCAGGCTGTGGAACACGTGACCAGAGGATTCACCCTAATTATGAGTACTGGCATCTTGCTTGACCATGGCAGAAACAGACAGCTGCATTGAAAACAAAATTCCAAATTGCTTTCCGGCAACTATATCCTTTCTTATGTAGATCCTCCAAAATGAGTTTGAGAAACAAAGATCGACTATATAAAATGATTATTAGACCAGCCACTACAAATACTTGTGCATGTGCGACTTGGTGTTTTCTTGCCAAGTCACACATGCAAAGTCTTCAAGTACTGCAAAGCAGAACTTTGCGAACAATTTGATAAGCCCCATGGTACTCCTTAAACTAGATACTACACACAGACCTTGACATTCCTTACTTGAGGGATTATGACAAGCTTCAGGGCAGCGGCGTTATAGTAAAGCGGAATCGCACAGCACCCCTCTGTTGCGTGACTCAGTGGAACAAGTTCATAAACATTCACGACTCGCACTGTGATAAAAAATTAGCGCGAACTTTTAGTAAGCCCAAAATTACACTCTAACAAAACCTGAATCAAAATTTGTTTTCAGTTCACCTCAAAATTAATCCGTGTACCATGTTAAAAAGGTTAGGTGTTTCCTCTTAAACTAATACACTCCATTTTTTGTTCTTCTCCTTTTTTCTTCTCTTTCCCTTTCTCTTTTTCGTTGACATTGTCTGGTTTCTGGGCAACCGGGACTGACATATTCGACTAACGTACATTAGACAGTGACAAATGATGGAAAGTCAGATCAACTTACCCAATAAACTAGCAAAAACCATGACGAAGCATGTGCCCAGATAAACGTCAATAGATTTGACGTAGGAGATTTTGGGCAGTGCCGCGTTGGTAGACGACATCAGCGTTGTCATCGTCAACACTGTGGTGACGCCCAAGGCTACTCGGGCAGGCGTTGCATTCCTGAAAGTGAAAAATAGTATATTATGTGTGTAGGTCGAAAGTTGAGATATTATTAAGCGCGCACTCTGCACTGATTAAGAAAATATTGTCAAAATTGTAAGACAAAAAGTACAAAATGGAGGTACTGACCTGTTCAGCCAGAAGCTCACCCAGGAGATGATTACGATCAGGCCGGACGGGATGTAGATTTGGATCAGGTAGTACCCCATCGAACGCACGAACTGGATCTCGCACGCCAAACGGGAGTAGTTTCCTGTTAAAGGAAATAACAGATAGGACACATATTATCGAAAATAATAATATAGACTTATGGACTTGTGGGACATCAAGTTAGCTGGTGCCAAGTTAATGTCAGAATAGTATGAATTACAGAGCCCAAAAATAAAGGAGTTGCCTTTTATTACTGAACAAGCGAGTTTTTAGCTCATGATTTTTGTTCGAACATCAGGTATAACATACGAAGGGTCATATTCATTTCAATATGTCTGATTATTTCAATGTATCTGTAAGATTAAAAAAAGGATTTTAGATTAAAAAGTTAAATCTATCCGCAAAGGGTTAAGAGGAAAGACATGGGTCATAGTCCAGGGATTCGCGAATGAGATGAAAATGAGAATAAGAATAAGGTATCTCAAGGTATACAACAAGCCAGAATGGCAATTGTTAAAGACTGAACTCTAGCTCAAATACATATTTTTCTTTTAGAAAATGAGGAATATTTTGAGCGATAACGAACTAAGCGAATGTCTTAGAGGAGATATTTAGAAGATTTACGGATCACTGTTGAGAAAGCTGCTTTTTAGATTTGGGATAAAACGACATGCTTCAGCTAACTCTATTTGGGTAATGGATGAACAGCAGGTAATCTTCTTATAAGAATCTTTTGATGGTTAATTTATAGTACCTGTGGTAAGGCTGATTTCCATGGCCCTCTGTCTGTGTCCAAGCACCTTGAACTGAGGCAGCGACACCTCGTTAGACACACCGACAGAATTGGGACCTTCGTTCCATTTATATCGGATGTCTCGCATTGTGTAGCCAACTGGAATAATCATTACGAATGGAAATGCTTCGAAAACGTGGACAGGTGCTCCTTCTTTTTCCGCTGTTCTGTTTTCTAATATCATGAGATGTGGTTGTGGCAATTCAATGAAATATCTTTATAATGGGGTTATTGGGTGTTATCGAGAAGCTTAATAGTGATGGAAGGGTATGCTTTTTCATATTCAGATAATACCTAACCTGTACCATAGAGGATCACTTCCACTATCTTCTGAAATTAGGCTTGAATAGATATAAGAGCCATCTTGAAATAATACTGGCTATTAGAATAGAATAACATCAAGCGCCACTGCTCTGTTACGCTAGGTGTACCCGTACTAGGTACCATAGACTCGTTTTCTCTAGCATTGCTTTCAACAGATTTCTTTGCATGAATTGTCAATGTTCCAAGTATCAATGTATCTCACATATTGAGTAGTAAAATATATAAAAGCAGAATCAAAATTAACGATTAATTTTGTTGGTTGATGTTTCATCATATCTAACAATAAGAATAACTTAGAGCGTCCAGTAATTCTCGGATACAAGATGACTATGCAAAATAGTGTCTGGCAAAAAGCCCATTTGATACAGACGAAACGCCTACCACTACGAAGTCATCTTCGTACATTGAAACTAGACGTATAGGCTGTTAAGTGGAAATAATTAATAACCAAATGACTTTTAGGAATTAAATACAGAAAATACCCTTTAACTATCCAAGCTCTCCCGTTTTTTGTGCGTTAGACATCCTCTAACGGTTAGCATCCTTAGAACACAATTCTGTGGTATTTAAAGCTTTTGGAGAATAAGTGTATTTTGTGGAAAATATTCTCTATTGAAGTGACATATTCTTCTGTTACCAACAGTGATCTCTACAATATTGGCGATACTTATATTGAGTTGGAATAGAAAATGTTTAACGCTTTTGTACAAGTTATACTAGGGCAATTGATTTGAAATGTCAACAACCTGTCGTTTCTATAGAAAGTCAGACCTTTAACTGTGTATCTAGAAATATGATTTTTGAGACGCAGAGGTGATTAAACCTAGAAAATAGGGACAATTATTGTGATAGCAATGACGGAAAAGGATTCGGAGGTTAATAGTCACATCTTTTGCCACATGATCCGTACTTACGTGGTCAGTAGCTTCGGTATTTACTGGTCATTCGGCCAGTGTCAGTGGATTTTCACGTAACCTTATACGTCACTAATTACCAGCGTCCAGGCTCCATGTTCAATATATATATCACATTCCATGATAAATAGTGACGCATATACAGTGAATACTGATTATGTGAGATTCGTCTTATTCTCAGCGTCTGTTTAAAGGGTGACTCAAAAAACACTGGACATAAAAGAGCAGAAAGTACATCCAAAAATAACGTGAAGTTCCTATGAACATATGTGTATCATGAGGCCCGATTTTACTATTGATCCCATGAATAAAATTTTGCGCATATGGCACAAATTCAATCAATGAGAAGGCGTCTTTGAAGTAATAGATCTAATAGATATGATCGATTCATTGTGAAATGTCTCTCAAACTAGAGAAAAATTGTACGACTTGTGTAATTCTCATATAAGAAATACTTCCTTTAGCTACAAAAAAAATCCCATTTGGCCGGCACACATAATTTGAGACCGAGACGTAAATTCGGCCAATCAAAAAGAAGGATGTGGGATATAGTCGTAAATTCGACCAATCAAAAAGAAGGATTTGCTGCTTGCTCGAAACATGTATCAAACCTAATACAATAGATTAATATGACAGCAATTACTTGATTATCTCATTGAAAATAATAGTGTCACTAAGGCCCGTATCGTCAGTCGTCCCTACAATTGTAGGGCGGCTTTATGGCCTCCTTGATTGTCATAGTTTTCTACTTCTCCGTGTCAGAACTCTATTTTGAGGTTATGTCACAAACATCTATTTGCATCAAATTGTGCTTGCTTTTGAGTTATATCATGTTTTATCAGCCTGAAATTTACTACAATTTAAAAAGAAAACATATCTTCACAATAGGAGAGCGCTGACGCTGACACGGGACAAGTGTAATCTAGAAATTTTTGCGCCCTACAATTATAGGGTGCGTTTATGGCCTCCTTGATTGTCATACTCTTTTCTCTCCTTCAAAAATTTCTAGATTACACTTGTCCCGTGTCAGCGTCAGCGCTCTCCTATTGTTAAGATATGTTTTCCTTTTAAATTGTAGGAAATTTCAGGCTGATAAAACATGACATAACTCAAAAGCAAGCACAATTTGATGCAAATAGATGTTTGTGACATAACCTCAAAATAGAGCTCTCACACGGAGAAGTAGAAAACTATGACAATCAAGGAGGCCATAAAGGCGCCCTACAATTATTGTAGGGACGACTGACTACATGGACCTAAGAGAGATGATTTAAGAAAAGAATATATTATTAACAATCCACGTCGATTGAGGTTAGCTACAAAAACCTACTTTTTCTCTATAGGTTTATATCAGGTCAGTCAAACTATATCATCAATTTTGCTAATTTTGTATCTTGCCACGGTTGAGGTGACATACACTTTATTTCCAATAAAATGCTTAGTAATGGCTGCCATATCAATCTATTGTATTAGGTTCGATCCATGTTTCAAGCAGGCCGAGAATCCTTCTTTTTGATTGGTCAGATTTGCGCCTCGGTCCCAAATTTTGTCTCCGAGGCCAAATGAAAAATAATTTTTGTAGCTAAGCCAGGAGATATATGAGCAAGGTATTTCTTGATTTAATATGAGAATTAGGGTCCCCTCTTACACAAATCGTATAATTTTTTCTATAGTTTCGACCATATTCATTAGATCTATTATTTCAAAAGCGCCTACTGATCAAAATCGTACCTAAATGTCCGATTACTAATGACTAAATAAGGACAAAACATGAATATCGTGAGGTATGATTGATCTCCTAATATACTACGAGTACAAATAATTTCCAATGTGAAACTTTAGCGAATTTTGAAACTAACATGGTAAGAAGTTTTTTCTACCGACTTACCTCAAACATTTAAATCAGTTTTTCTCCAAAAGGATTAGTCCGACTAAAATTCCTTATTGACAGGTGATTCATTTAGAATTATATACTTTATTCACAATTGCAGTAGATGAATAAACTCACGTAGAAAATAATTTGCTTTCTTCTGCTGTAGGGTTCGAATTTTCATCATTTCTAGTTTCTAGTTTCAGTTTATTGTTGCATAACTTTTAAATTCGATAGAACTTTTAAAATTAATGCATAAAGTCTATATAAACATGGGTCGAAAAATGCGTGGCTTCCGAAATACAGGGTGTTTAAATTTACTTTCTCAAATAGTTTTTTTTAAATATTTCGAACAATATTTGATGTATAATAGTGAAAATTGTTATACAAGGGTTTTTTGGTACGACAAAACGAACCATGGGCATAGTTTTACTGTAGCCGCTAGAGGGCGCTCTCTACTGTACCTGTAGTGTATTAAAATGACCGAAAAATTTTTCTTAGTGCAATTTTTTGCTTTTTGAACAAAAAAAACGATTCTTCTCACATTTCAACATAAAAAAGCTCCCCTGTGAGTTTTCGTTATAGTTAGCCGTTTTTGAGGTATTTCGTTTTTAAGGTTCGATGCATTTTTAATTATTTATGGGAAAATAATTTTTTTTACATGTTCGATTTGGGCATTACAAGTAATTGAGATGATCGTTTAGATTGTGTCTTTAAACACAGCAATAATTCCTAACTCCAAATAAACACAAAAAAACAGAATATTAATTTGTTTAATTTTCCAATATTATTTTTAACAAATTAAATTAATTATTTACAACTAAAATGCTATTGGATAGTTAGGACAAACATACAAAGTCTAAAGTAGTTGCTCGCAATGTAAACCCAATTGTTCAATACACAATTTACATCTACGAATGATCGAACGTGGTATAGCATTATTCAAATAAGGGCTTATTTCATCACATGCATTCCTGATTCTGACTATTAGCATATCTCTTGTGGTTACTGGAGTCTAGTACACTCTTTTTCTTTTAGAAATCCCCACACAAAGAAGTCTAATGGATTTAGGTCAGGGGATCGTGGAGGCCAGGCTACTGGTCCTCCACGGCAGATCCATCTTTCTTGATAATTTTCGTTCAGCCAGTTTCTAACTATTCTCGAATAATGAGCTGGACAACCATCAAGCTGTAACCAGGCCAATCTTCTTAAATCTAACATAACATCATCCCACATATTTGCATGTTCAGCCTTTAAAAATTCCAAGAAGGTCGCAGCATTTAACCTTGCAGGCAAAAGGTAAGGTCCAAATAGTCGATTACGTTCACACTAAATTCATGCTGAAAATTTCTTTCCCGAACTGCATGCGGATTTTCATGCGACCAAATATGTTGATTATGAAAATTTACCACTCCACGTCTAGTGAAGCATGACTCATCGGTCCATAAAACGTTACTTAAAAACTCACTATTATTATCAGTTCTATCAAGAATCCACTGACAAAATGTGATTCTTCGTTCTCCGTCCCCTGGCTGTAGTCCTTGCACAAGTTGCAAATGGTAAGGACGTCTATGGTCATTTCTAAGAACACGGTGAACATGGCTTGCTGAAATTCCTAAGGCACCAGAAACTCTCCTAACACTTGTGGTCGGATCTCTATCAAACTCACGCAGAATCATACGGTTAAATCTGCGCTGACGAACATTTATGTTTTGATCCCTTTGGAGGTTTCCAAAACCATTTTCAATTATTTGGCGATGCACTCTTACACATACTGAGCGAGTTGGATGTCGTCTGTTTGGAAATCTTCGTGCGTATTCTCTGGCTGCTTCTGCTGCCGTTCCATTTGCAAGGCCGTACACAAAATGAATATCCGCTAACTCTTGATTGGAGAATAAAAATGGCATTTTTATAAAACTTACAAAAAAAAAACAGGTAAAAGAAGCTAAATTTCGTGCATTCACAATCGCCAAAAAACGTTTCAGGTTTCA